ACTCAAAGCAGTCAAGCATATACCGAGGCAATGACCACACGTCCGTCATCACAACTTCCCAATTTCATCAAACATTCATCAACACATCATATAATTCACCAATATCACATGCTCAACAAAACAAAAACCTAAGCTAGACTGATCCACCACATAAGAATGCAAAACCCAATTCGACTCCCCCACACTTAAAATGAGGCAATGCCCTCATTGCTTCAACACATAATAGGAAGTCAAATAAAAGACCTAGCACTTTAATATAGCGAACCAACACTAGCACCTACCACAAGCACACAAGACTAAAAAGAAAAGACATGAAGAAACTCAAAAAGATAAAAAGAAAAAGTGTGTGCAAACCAAAGATGCCTCGAGGAGAAATAGCATGCATGTGCAAGTCACTCGCCTATGCTCAGCCTCGTCCCTTGTTATTCCCCCTGCTCAAGCTCGCAAATAGTACCTGTCGAGAAAACCACACAAACTCCAAACCTCCCATTATTCAAAGATAAAAGAAAATGCATAAGAGAAAATGAACAAGAAAGCAATAAATATCACTTGGGTTGCCTCCCAAGAAGCGCTTGTTTTACGTCATTAGCTTGACGAAACCTGAAAAGAAACTCATCCAGGGTCCAGAAAGAAGTGACGATCGTGCCACGCTTTTGTATTCTCGAGAAGTGGCAGTGCTGGCACTAAGGCCAGAAGGCAGACATGGATGGCTCGGGTAGTAATATTCTTCTGGAACTGGGCATGGGAGCAAGGTGGGGTAACAAAGTGGCCTAGAGCACTCTTTACCGAAACTCCATTGTCAACCAATGGAAGGATGAGAACATCTGTGGAGCATAACAGGACCATTGGGGCCTTCTCAATGGGGCATGACGGCTCAAATGAGGGACTCTCCAATGTGGGCTCAGAAGTTATCTCCATCAGAAAATCACCCTCATCTACTGGGAGAACATCCTTCTCTTCTTCCGTCTCGCCTTCGTAAATTCGATAGTTAGTGCTCGAGGTCTCATCGACTCGTGGCTTAATGGATTGAATGTGATCCATTATCCCATCGAGTTGGTCCACTATTCGGGTACATCCACCCTCAATCTTCTCTAGTCGAGTTGCTTGGGCCGCCACACGAGCAAGGATGAGGTCGAGTTTTTCATCGCTCGTCAAGGTATCCTCTCGAAGTCCACCCATATATGTAAACTCGTCTTGCATGATCGACTCAGGAGAGAAACTCGGTCATCTATGACTTGAATACGCTCCACTAAGTTCGCGATCTCGCCCCGAGCTGCCTGAGATTGCAAAAGAGCGAGAGCCCGATCAAGTTTCTTATTGTAGGCGGACTTTTTTTCACGAGCTGCTTTGGATTCTATAAAATCAAGAATCTGGTCGAGCTTCTTGTTAAACTTGTTGGACTCATGCGTCTGCTCGACCGGAAATTGGTTCCAGCACTGCTCGGAAGAGTATGAGTGCGATTGGGTGTAGTACCCGGCACAATAACTCGGCTCACTGTTCCAAGAGGGGTAGTGCGGGGAGGAATACTCGTGATTGAATTTCATATCCCTGCACAACAAAACAAAACAACCCAACGTAGCCACGAAAAAGAGAAGAAGAAAAAGACACAAAATAGAAAAACAAAAATGCAGAGAAAGAACAAAAATACTAAAAATGCAAAAATAAAGAGA